GCTGTCTTAGTGCTTGCCGACCCAGGAGGTGGTTGTGTAAATCACTCTCTCCTTGTGTTTCTGGTAAAGGTAAGCTGAGCGGGACAGGAACTTATTTGAGACAATTGGCGCCTGGGCTGACCATGGTTCAGTTTTACGACTCTCACATGGATGATAGGATACCTTAGTTTTTCTGGTGAGACGCAGAGATTCAGTCGTTCATTTGTGTCTGTTCACAGAGGCCCTACAGTACCTTAGGCTGGCCACAATAAATGGCCACTCTAAAATGTGCAGTTTTATCACACAGCACAATGCCACAGATGTCGCAAGTTTTGAGGGAGCGTACAATTGGCATGCTGACTGCAGGAATGTCCACCAGAACTGTTGTCCGTGAAATGAATGTTCATTTCTCTACCATAAGCCGTCTCCAAAGGCGTTTCAGAGAATTTGTCAGTACATCCAACCGGCCTCACAACCGCAGACCACGTGTAATCACACCAGCCCAGGACCTCCACATCCAGCATCTTCACCTCCAAGATCGTCTGAGACCAGCCACCCGGACAGCTGCTGCAACAATCGGTTTGCATAACCAAAGAATTTCTGCACAAACTGTCAGAAACCATCTCAGGGAAGCTCATCTGCATGCTCGTCATCCTCATCTGGGTCTCGACCTGAGTGCAGTTCAATGTCGTAACCGACTTGAGTGGGCAAATGCTCACATTCGATGGCATCTGGCACTTTGGGGAGGTGTTCTCTTCACAGATGAATCCCGGTTTTCACTGTACAGGGCAGATGGCAGACAGCGTGTATGGCGTCGTGTGGGTGAGCGGTTTGCTGATGTCAGTGTTGTGGATCGAGTGGCCCATGGTGGTGGTGGGGTTATGGTATGGGCAGGCGTATGTTATCGACAACGAACACAGGTGCATTTTATTGATAACATTTTGAATGCACAGAGATACCGTGATGAGATCCTGAGGCCCATTGTTGTGCCATTCATCCACGACCATCACCTCATGTTGCAGCATGATAATGCACAACCTCATGTTGCAAGGATCTGTACACAATTCCTGGAAGCTGAAAACATCCCAGTTCTTGCATGGCCGGCATACTCACCAGACATGTTACCTATTGAGCATGTTTGGGATCCTCTGGATCGGCGTATACGACAGCGTGTTCCAGTTCCTGCCAATATCCAGCAACTTCGCACAGCCATTGAAGAGGAGTGGACCAACATTCCACAGGCCACAATCAACAACCTGATCAACCCTATGCGAAGGAGATGTGTTGCTGTAAGGGTTCTTCCATAAAATTTTCAGGAGGCATTCATAGAATCTTCAAATTTCCATTTTATTAACTGCCACACTCATGTACTGATCACAAAGGTGCAATAAAAAATGTGAAAAACCAAAAGAAAAGAAAGACAAACTAACTGATAAATGAAATATCAGCACATTACTGATTATGGGCCTCAGATGTTTCTCCAGGGATCCCTCACCAGAACTCCATCAGCCATAGAAAAAGCACACCCTTTTAACAAACAGATCAAACCATTTTATAATTACAGGGGGTCTCAATTCAGTACATCAAACCTCAATGAAAAAGAAATATATACAAATAAACTCTATAAACATGAAATTCCATTCACCATAAAGCAATAATAAAATAAACTGGAAAGAATGCCCTTTATAATAACACATTCAAATGAACAAACAATCCAAACCCATATGGTACCCAAAACTTAATTTCCCATAATTCCTAGCAAAGGATATAAAGGACATGAGGAAATGCCACGCTCTTTTAATAACAAGCCTTTGTTCCATGCTGCAGTCAGAACCACGGGTAAGACACACAATCATTCAAACAATTAAATAAAGAAATTATTCACCCATATCTTGTTTAGTTGTGGTTTTATTCAATCACTAGCGTAGGGTGACCATACGTGCCATTTTCCCAGGACGTGTTGATGTCAAACACTGATCGATCGAGCTGCTTTTAAGTCGAACACACATCCTATGTACGCGTAATTGCATCGCTTTGACCATAGAACCCACCTTCTCACACACACACACACACACACACACCATGATTGGTCCATTATGTACAATGCCTGCATGTTATTGGTCAAACTACTTTTCGATCATTACCTTCAGCAAGCATGAAAACAGGAAAAACCAAAGCCAAAACAAATCCTGACAAGGACGCATCCTGGGAAAATGGCACGTATGGTCACCCTACACTAGCGTGCACTCTAGTAATGGATTGTTGTCTCGCTCTTTGATCTTTAATGTGCGCATAAGAGACAACATGCACCACTAACACAAAATGTTTTGGGTAAATAATATTAAAAAGACAAAATAAATACATATAAATTTATAAACAAGCAAACAAACAATTAATCCCTTAAACAAAAAAATCTATTTCTCCTACAAAGAAATGAAATTAATTAAAAAGAAAACTAGAACGATTGACATAAACTAGCCCAATTATTAACTGTGGCCTTAGCCATCACATTTCCCCCCACCTATGCATTCTCGCACGGTGAGCGAGAAAGAAAATCGGCTGCAATATTTTCGTCCCCCGGACGATGCTTCACTGTAAAGCGGAAGGGTTGTATAGACAAAAACCATCGTGTCAAGCGAGAATTTGTGTCTTTCATCCTATTCAACCATTTCAGAGATTTATGATCCGTTTCGATAACGAAATCTCGGTGTGACAAAAAAAGGACCCCTGTGAATCACCCTCTCCCAGCCTATGAGCTCCTGCTTGCATTGTTAAAACAGCAAAATGTCACTTCAGGATAAAATTGAACTGATACACACTAAATGCAATTAGTTTGGGCTGTAAGTGTCAAATCAGCTTTTTCTGAGCCACTTTACCGCAGTTTTAATTTCCCTCGTGGGCATTTGGTACAACTTCACACAAATTAAACTCCCATCATACCGCTGCACATTTCTTCTAATGTCTTTTAGTCTTCATATTAGCTATTCAATCCGAGCCTATTGCTCCACAACGTCCTCTCTTCGACTCCCCGTTTCTGAATCTCTTTACAGAGTGAACTAAGGTTGTCTATTTGGTGTGGCATAAGGTTAATTATTAAATATGTAGCTGTCAGTCAAAGTAATCCCTCCTGAATGAGCTGCATCAGCTTTGGAGGATTAACCAGAGACTGAGATGGATCATATGTGCCATCACTGTGTTCAGCACCAATAAGCATTTGGTTTATTTTAAAGCTGGGAATTTGACGCTTTTGCTAAATTCTAGCTTTTTTTTTCTGTTACAAGAAACCTTCTGCAGCATGTAATGAAGGAACAAATGGAATGCAGAACACATGCTTACACTAATATAGGCTAGAGTGAAGTAAGCCTGTGCCACTTTTTTTACTTAAAGTTATAGTTTACTCAAAAAATGAATCGAATTTAACATGAGTGTGAGCAAATGTTGACATGATTTTGACTTTTTGGCTAAACTATCCCTGTAAGTTTTCTTTAAAGGAATAGTTCAGCCCAAAATGAAAAAGCGGTCCATGACATATTAATTAATGTCTTGTGAGGCTTTTTACTTCACTGATAGGTGACGGACTGGATCGGTGTGCATTACTTGTTGATTGCTGTGATGTTTTATCAGCTGTTTGGACTCTCATTCTGACGGCACCCATTCACAACAGAGGATCCATTGGTGAACAAGTGATGTAATGCTACATATGTTTTAATGAAGAGACAGGCCATCCAAGATATAGATGACTTTGAGGGTGAGTACATTTTCTGTCAATTTTCATTTTTGGGTGAACTATTCCTTTAAGTCCACTAGCCCAGGCAATTTCAAACCAGGGTCAGAAAAAAAAATGTGTTCAAATGCAAAACAGTAAGAATCTCCTCACAAGTGGTCTGTGAAATATTGGTAAATATGTGAACAATTTACATTTCAAACAGAAAGTCTCATTTAATGTATAAATCAGCCAGGAAATGTGGCAAACACAGACAATGTCATAATTTTTTGTTGTAGAAAAACAAACAAAAAGTCGTTACAATCAAGTACCAGCACACAATGCTATTTGGGGAGCAAGCAGTCACTGTGCAATTTCAATCAATATTACAAACATATTCAGTATAAAATGCCTCTGAGGTTTCAGCAAAACTGTTGATTCTGAATTTACGTAAAAGAATGTACAACATTCCAGGAAGCTACTTGCAAAGAAAACCACAAATGATTCTGTCTACTTTTGTATCAACTGTCACCGAGACATAACAAACAGACAATTGAAACCGTCTTCAACCAGACGTTTCAAACAGCACTATTCATCTCCATAGTTCAATCTATCATCAGGCTGAAAACACATTTCTGTCAATCAACACTGGCAATGAATCTTTAAAATGAATTTAATCCAAATTATGCAAATCTTCTAAGGATATTCGACGCCCCACAGAAAGAACAGCTTCTGAATTTAAGCAAGTTCAATTCTCCATTGGCTCACAGACCATGTGGGCCATGAAATTTCTCTCAAGGCTGCAGCTGCAAGAATCTACTTTCTTTGTACCCTACTGCCTTTAAAGCATCCGAGCTTGTGTAATTTGGCACTGAGTACTTTCACTTCCTTTGGGCAACGCATCTACTCCTCGATGGAGGGGGGAATCTGCATGCTTACCCCCCAAACACTCTCTGGTATGACGCCTTGGGCATGAAAGCATGAAGAAATGTAATTAAACATATGTCAAATGCTGAAGCTTTGCAGATAGAGTTAATTACATTGTCACCTGTGAATTTACAGAGAGGGTGGCAACAATCGTGAATTGTAATTTCTGAGAGGGTCTCATATGCTAAAACAGCTCCATGCTCAATGAATTCCAATTACCTGAATACACTGGACTGTGAATGTCTCAACTGAACAAAATGAACAAGGCAGACACTTATTTGTCTCTTTTACATGCTTTTATGCGCAAATGTTTACATCACCATATTTCACTTATCTAAGCCAAATAATGACATGAGTGCACAAATATGGCTTTAGTAAGGATCTCACTTACCCTCATACCAAGTTCAATGTTTTCTCCTCCGTAAACCTCCATGCCCGGGTCAAGCAGCCCGATTTCTCCAAAATACTCACGATCCACCACAAAGGAGCAGCCAATCATTGCAGGTGTCCTGTGTACAAGAAATATATATGAGCATTCATATTCAGAGAGATTGGACAGATGGATGGATGGACGGATAGACAGATAGACAGATAGACAGATAGATAGATAGATAGATAGATAGATAGATAGATAGATAGATAGATAGATTGTAACTGATTACAATTACGTTTATTTTGTATATGTACTGTTTTGGAAAAAACAAATATTTGCATTGCTATGACAGGAAACACTGCATCTAACAATGCCTTGGAAAAAACAGTTAATCTTAAAAAATAAAGCATATGCATAAACCCAAATAGGAAATAAAACAGTTATTGAATAAGCATGTGTCCTATTCTGTGTCCTTAACTCCTGAAACATTGGTGTCTCATATTTTAGAGCAGTCAGTGAATTTTGGGAAATAAATCAATTAAATCTGTATCTGTATGTGGGTGTGTGTATAAAAAAAATCAGTTGTAATCCCCTTTGTAATCATTAATATTTTCATAAGTAACTGTAATTTAACTGTAATTTCTCAGTAACTGTAACTGATTACAATTACGTTTATTTTGTAATTAAATTACGTAATTCCGTTACATGTAATGAGTTCCTCCCCAACACTGTAGATAGATAGATAGATAGATAGATAGATGAAAAAACGATAATAGCTGACTCTGAATATGGCTGGGGAAAGAAGTGCTGATGAATTAATAACTCTCAGAGAGAGAAGTCGACTGGAAATAATTTACGAATCAGAGGTTGCAGAATCTGCCCTCTCACAGAGCATGAAGAGTTTCTGTTGAGTGGGAGTGAGATGAGCCAGAAGTCATATGTAAAGTAGAAACGTTGTGTGTTTAAACAGAAATACACACCACTGACAGACTGTGCGGTGAGAGTAAACAGGCATATAGTAGAGAAAAGTGTTTATTTGATTTTGTCAAGTGCTACTCTCTTTCTTCCCACTCTCCCTGTATTCCCACTTGGTTTCTTGCTCTTCAGCATGTAATATTAAAACAGGTCCACATATGGCAGTTTGCTGAGATGGCAGTTTTCACTGGTTTCTCAGGTCAGAGACACACTCAATTCAAAACCCTTTCCAAGAAGTTCAAAGTAAATGTCACTCTGTGACAACCTTGGAAACAGTAATGATTAAAGGGGTCATATGATGAGATTTCAATTGTTCCTTTCTCTTTGGAGTGTTACAAGCTCTTGGTGCATAAAGAAGATCTGTAAAGTTGCAAAACCAAAAGTCTCAAATCCAAAGAGATATTCTTTATAAAAGTTAAGAGTCAACCACGTCTACCTAAAACGGCTCGTTCTAACACGCCCCCACATGTCTACCTCACGATGTGGGACGATTTGCATAACGCCGCCCAAATGTTCACGCAAAGAAAGAAGGCGTAACTTTTATTCTTGCTGTAGTATTGTTGCTGCCGCCATGTCGTGAAGAAGCTGTGTGTTTTGTTGTGAAAGCGAAACTACTTTGTTTGGTCTTCCAAAAGAGAACACGACTAGAAATCAGTGGTTAAGTTGTATTTACAACACTGTTCCAGAACACTTCAACCCAAATATTCAGATGTGTGCAGTGCATTTTATGGAGGACTGTTTCCTGATCCTGGAAGAGTCATTATAAGTCATTATAATCAGTAATTATGTCCCCACTGGATGCAACAAATGCCCCGTTTATAATGGGTTTTATTGGTTTTGTCTCGTCGCTCCAGCCGGGACACCAATCACAACGCTCTGGATAGCTGGCCAATCACAGCACACCTCGCTTTTCAGACCGATGAGCTTTGTAAAAATCGACACGTTTCAGAAAGACGGGACATAGAGGAGAAACAATAATGTACAATATGTGGAAAATAATGTGTTTTTTTAACCTTAAACTGCATAAACACATTTCATTACACCAAATACACCAAATGATGTTCTTTTTAGCAGCATCATATGACCCCTTTAAAGTGTAGAAATAATAATAGTAGTTTTAAATGATATATGATATCTTTATGCAATTCATTAATAAATGAGCAAGCAGTCACTGTGCAATTTCAATCAATATTACAAACATATTCAGTATAAAATGCCTCTGAGGTTTCAGCAAAACTGTTGATTCTGAATTTACGTAAAAGAATGTACAACATTCCAGGAAGCTACTTGCAAAGAAAACCACAAATGATTCTGTCTACTTTTGTATCAACTGTCACCGAGACATAACAAACAGACAATTGAAACCGTCTTCAACCAGACGTTTCAAACAGCACTATTCATCTCCATAGTTCAATCTATCATCAGGCTGAAAACACATTTCTGTCAATCAACACTGGCAATGAATCTTTAAAATGAATTTAATCCAAATTATGCAAATCTTCTAAGGATATTCGACGCCCCACAGAAAGAACAGCTTCTGAATTTAAGCAAGTTCAATTCTCCATTGGCTCACAGACCATGTGGGCCATGAAATTTCTCTCAAGGCTGCAGCTGCAAGAATCTACTTTCTTTGTACCCTACTGCCTTTAAAGCATCCGAGCTTGTGTAATTTGGCACTGAGTACTTTCACTTCCTTTGGGCAACGCATCTACTCCTCGATGGAGGGGGGAATCTGCATGCTTACCCCCCAAACACTCTCTGGTATGACGCCTTGGGCATGAAAGCATGAAGAAATGTAATTAAACATATGTCAAATGCTGAAGCTTTGCAGATAGAGTTAATTACATTGTCACCTGTGAATTTACAGAGAGGGTGGCAACAATCGTGAATTGTAATTTCTGAGAGGGTCTCATATGCTAAAACAGCTCCATGCTCAATGAATTCCAATTACCTGAATACACTGGACTGTGAATGTCTCAACTGAACAAAATGAACAAGGCAGACACTTATTTGTCTCTTTTACATGCTTTTATGCGCAAATGTTTACATCACCATATTTCACTTATCTAAGCCAAATAATGACATGAGTGCACAAATATGGCTTTAGTAAGGATCTCACTTACCCTCATACCAAGTTCAATGTTTTCTCCTCCGTAAACCTCCATGCCCGGGTCAAGCAGCCCGATTTCTCCAAAATACTCACGATCCACCACAAAGGAGCAGCCAATCATTGCAGGTGTCCTGTGTACAAGAAATATATATGAGCATTCATATTCAGAGAGATTGGACAGATGGATGGATGGACGGATAGACAGATAGACAGATAGACAGATAGATAGATAGATAGATAGATAGATAGATAGATAGATAGATAGATAGATAGATAGATAGATAGATAGATAGATAGATAGATAGATAGATAGATAGATTGTAACTGATTACAATTACGTTTATTTTGTATATGTACTGTTTTGGAAAAAACAAATATTTGCATTGCTATGACAGGAAACACTGCATCTAACAATGCCTTGGAAAAAACAGTTAATCTTAAAAAATAAAGCATATGCATAAACCCAAATAGGAAATAAAACAGTTATTGAATAAGCATGTGTCCTATTCTGTGTCCTTAACTCCTGAAACATTGGTGTCTCATATTTTAGAGCAGTCAGTGAATTTTGGGAAATAAATCAATTAAATCTGTATCTGTATGTGGGTGTGTGTATAAAAAAAATCAGTTGTAATCCCCTTTGTAATCATTAATATTTTCATAAGTAACTGTAATTTAACTGTAATTTCTCAGTAACTGTAACTGATTACAATTACGTTTATTTTGTAATTAAATTACGTAATTCCGTTACATGTAATGAGTTCCTCCCCAACACTGTAGATAGATAGATAGATAGATAGATAGATAGATAGATAGATAGATAGATAGATAGATAGATAGATAGATAGATAGATAGATAGATAGATAGATAGATGAAAAAACGATAATAGCTGACTCTGAATATGGCTGGGGAAAGAAGTGCTGATGAATTAATAACTCTCAGAGAGAGAAGTCGACTGGAAATAATTTACGAATCAGAGGTTGCAGAATCTGCCCTCTCACAGAGCATGAAGAGTTTCTGTTGAGTGGGAGTGAGATGAGCCAGAAGTCATATGTAAAGTAGAAACGTTGTGTGTTTAAACAGAAATACACACCACTGACAGACTGTGCGGTGAGAGTAAACAGGCATATAGTGTGTTTATTTGTTTATTTGATTTTGTCAAGTGCTACTCTCTTTCTTCCCACTCTCCCTGTATTCCCACTTGGTTTCTTGCATGTAATATTGTAATATTAAAACAGGTCCACATATGGCAGTTTGCTGAGATGGCAGTTTTCACTGGTTTCTCAGGTCAGAGACACACTCAATTCAAAACCCTTTCCAAGAAGTTCAAAGTAAATGTCACTCTGTGACAACCTTGGAAACAGTAATGATTAAAGGGGTCATATGATGAGATTTCAATTGTTCCTTTCTCTTTGGAGTGTTACAAGCTCTTGGTGCATAAAGAAGATCTGTAAAGTTGCAAAAACAAAAGTCTCAAATCCAAAGAGATATTCTTTATAAAAGTTAAGAGTCAACCACGTCTACCTAAAACGGCTCGTTCTAACACGCCCCCACATGTCTACCTCACGATGTGGGACGATTTGCATAACGCCGCCCAAATGTTCACGCAAAGAAAGAAGGCGTAACTTTTATTCTTGCTGTAGTATTGTTGCTGCCGCCATGTCGTGAAGAAGCTGTGTGTTTTGTTGTGAAAGCGAAACTACTTTGTTTGGTCTTCCAAAAGAGAACACGACTAGAAATCAGTGGTTAAGTTGTATTTACAACACTGTTCCAGAACACTTCAACCCAAATATTCAGATGTGTGCAGCGCATTTTATGGAGGACTGTTTCCTGATCCTGGAAGAGTCATTATAAGTCATTATAATCAGTAATTATGTCCCCACTGGATGCAACAAATGCCCCGTTTATAATGGGTTTTATTGGTTTTGTCTCGTCGCTCCAGCCGGGACACCAATCACAACGCTCTGGATAGCTGGCCAATCACAGCACACCTCGCTTTTCAGACCGATGAGCTTTGTAAAAATCGACACGTTTCAGAAAGACGGGACAT